TGGGACAGTAGCTGATTAGTGAGAGAAGTGCATCACCTGCAGCCTCTGAGACCACTCCTAGCTAAGACATATCATTTTTTGACAGCTTTCCATCTGGTACTGACCAGGCCTGAACATGCTTAATTAGTGAGATCTGATGAGTACTAAGCCTGAGGTTGTATTAGTTTTGCTTCTAAATTTGGACACGTGCTTTGAACTAGTAATACGGGAGTTAAAAGCATCATGTAAACAGGATTAGACTTGGCTCACAAAACTTTTGCTTAGTCCTTGTTTGAGGGAATAAGAGACAGCAAGAAGGCATACGGCAGAGCAAATGCTTCAGACAAAAATGGCTAGTAACTCTAAAAACACACCTTTCAACATCTATCTCTGAGCATGTAAGAACACGGTATGCCTGGGGTCCTATGATGGGTGTCAGCACTTCAAGGTGGGACGATGTGCCTGGGAAAGCAGTGGCACTCAGCAGCAGCAGGGAGGGGAATCTGCCTACAGCCCCTGCTGAGTACAGGTCAGGCCATCCCGCTCAGAAAATACGTGCCCGTGGGATGGCATTTTGTATCTGCAGTGACTGGAGTGCTATAGAGCAGCCCATGAAGGTGCATCATGACCCAGCCTCCCTGCTGAGAGGAAGGTCAGGAAATCCAGGGCCCTTATGGAGAGCTGGCAAAAGCCATATGAGCAAAACTTCCGTGTTGAAAACAAAGGAAGTGTCCAGGGAAAGAACCTTGTAAGGTTTACCCCACGGTTGTGATGCAGCATTTATGTGGTTCCCTGAATCCAGATCTTCCATGACTGGACTTCAGAGATCATGGACCCAGCAGCGTCCAACCAGGGTACAGTGTCAACACAGTGAGCACTGAAGGAAATAGCCTTCAACAGCAGTGTGGTGCAGGCATTTATCTGGGGATTTGCTGTCTCAGCAGGAGTGCACAAAGAATACATGGAGCTTGATATGTTTGAAAATATGTCAGACAGCACTCAAACACACGTGCTGATGGATGCACACAGCTCAGTATGTTTCCTATATCTGAAGTATAGTTTCATGAGAGAAATTGGAGCTTTGGGGAGTGCAGTAACTTTCTGGGAGAGTGTCTTCATATGTGTAAATTCAGCCTAGAACACTAGAATCCAGATTCTGATCTGGTCTCTTGACATTTCCCAATAAAAGTATTAAATGATAATTTATCATGTCTTGCGAATATGATCACGGATGCCCCCTAGTTCTGGAGTTCAGGGTGACGTGAATGCTCTGAGAAATGTATGTTTATTTGTTCCTGTCCAGTATACAGTATTGCTCTCCCTGAGCAGGGATCTCCCAGGCTAGCCAGAATCTCTTAATTTGCATTTCTGTTTAAGAGAGAGTTAAACCCACTTAATGTGCTATTTTGCCTTCTTTTCTTTTTCTCATTATCTGCAGATGTTTCAGGATGGGAGTAGAATGCACAGAAGAAAAATCTCACCAGCTAATAAATGAAAGACAGTATTTCATTTATTTACTTTCAAGTAAACCAGGCAAGCCATTCAGACATTTGTTGCCAAACAAGATCATCAGGGCTAAGAGGCTTGTGTATACTATTCGTATTGTTCTGGTGAGCTATTTGCTTTGTACTTAGAGCAGTCTGTAAACTGTTTCTCTCTATATAATGAGAAAGAATTTTACACATGTAAAGAATTCTCCATGCTTCAGTTTACAGATGTGATTTAACAGCTTTTGCTTTCAGAGAGCTTGATGGAGAAATATCTGAGGTATCTAAAATATTATAAGGGAGGTCAGAAATGGCACTGAGAACTCAGGACTGGCTGCTTTTCTGGGCTCATTCGGGCTGCTGCAATGAAAGAAGTGCTTTGACTTTTGGAAAGTGTGTTTAATGGACTTGGAAGGAAGTGAACAAAAGCCAAAAACAGCTTCTGGTGAGTTTTAAAAACATCCTCTATTCTTCTTTATGTGTTTGTTTTCCCACTGAAAAGTACATTCAGTGGATCATATCAAAATGGCTTGCTGTGAAGGTATTCCATACATTATTAAAATACATTATATATAGTCTCCATATCATAATAAAGTGGGAACACTCATCTTCTGAAACCATTTTCAGCTTGTCTTATATATTTCCATACAAACACACACCCAGAAACTGGAGCTGTTCACACACTGGAAAAAGTAACACCAGCTCCTTCCTTTGCCCTGAGGAGTATCAGATGAGCAGCTGTTTGTTGCATTCATGGAGGTGGTGGCCTTTAGGCATCAGTCTCCTCTAAAGGATCCTCCACTCCTCTGTGGATTCCTCCTCACTATCTTCCTTCCAGACTTCTACATTTTACCAGTCACTTTCGTCTTCAAACATTGACTTCACCTCACTTGCAAACCTGTGGTTCAGATCACAGTAAGGAGAATATTGGTGCAGATACTTTATTTGAGATTTTAAGACGTGTCACTGGGGGACTACAACCAACACAGCTCTGTTAGTGGCTCTGAGACACAATGCTAAAATCTTTGCTCCTTTGGATTATGTCTCTTTTGGCCCAGGAGAGATTCCTTCTACCTTAGTCTTGTTGAGTACAATTCAAATTCATTGCTGAAAATGAGCTTGGAAGAAAAGTGTCTTTTTCCAGTTATGGCTGTACTGTTGAAAGATGTGGCACCAGCTGGAGTCCATCCATGTGTAAGTACAGCAAACTTCAATCAACAGCCTTAAGCAAGAGTGCAACCACTTCCAAATTTGAACACGATTCAAAAATATACAGTCTTCTCCAGGAAAATCAGTATTTTCCATCCTAGAAGAAATTCTCACACCCATGAAGAACATTATTTGCAAATACTCACAGCTAAATTAATCCAACAGAATATGGATTTTCACAATCACACAATTTTTTTTCTGCATGAGCAAATTTTTTTGTACTTGAGGAAAGCTTCTTTAATATTAATTTGGTAAGCCAAAGTTCCTTGGAAATAGACAATAAAGCTTGTTCTCTTCTTTGTATTGTGCACTTAAAGCAATTCAGGAATTTGAACCTGGTCCAGAAAACCAGACACTGGTGTCACTGGTGAATCTCCCAGAGGAATGTGTCCACAGGAAAGCCTCTCAGCCATACATGGCTGCCTCCCTCCCAAGGCTGTTTTATTGCATACAAAACCCCAGCTGCACTCCTGCTTACACCACTGATCATAATTCCTTCTTCCTAAATTAGAGTTTCTCCCTCTAGCAACTGAACCTTCCTTGTGGGAAGGTTCTGTGGTTTATTCCAACAGCAGACTCTGATTTTCCTTGTCTTTGACAAAGCACACATCCACATCCATAGCCATTTCATTCCTCTACTGTTTGAGTCTCCCAAGAAAATCTTCATCTATGGTTTTTTTCACATCTTTCTCAAGATATCTGGGGAACAAATGTGTGCGTTCTTTATTTAGCAGTATCTTACCGCAGCCTTAGACCATGTCAGCCAGCCTTTTAACTTGGATTAATTTAGTTTCTTTCTCTCTCTTTGCCCCTTTTGCCATCAACAGCTCTATTTCAGGCCACTGGGACAGTACCAGCTGTCACTTGCCAGCCGGTGATGTCACCTTTATGTATGTCTGCTGGGCCCCTGTTTTCACAAGAGGTCAGTTCCTCTGGATATCTGAACGGATTGCATGTTTTAGACTGCATCTGACACCTAAATCATTATATTTGACTTTCTTTTCAACAGTTATAGTTCCTGAAACTGAATGATTTGGCATCAATTTTGCCAGATCATTTTCATTTCCACATTTGTGTTTGAGCAATTTTTCTGCCTGCCACAGATGTCATTGACATGCTCCTGCCTTTCCAGTTCATTACCAAAGCTGTTAAAAACCTTTTGTTGGCCATCAATATGATTTACCACGTGTTGCTCTTTCCCATGACTAAGGTGGACTATTAGTGGGTCTGGAAGATCACCAGCATTCCTGGAATCTCTCTGTATCTCCACAATTTAAGTCCTGCCTACCAGATAACCTACTTAGAAGACAGAAACAATAAAACAACACAGTTTTAGACCACTGAATGTGGATTAATTCTTTTCCATTTCCATCCCTTCTGACACAGAAGTTGCTTCTTTGTGATTTTACATACCCCCAATACTTTAGCAAAAGCAGTAAGCCTTTCCCAACCACAACACTCAAGTACTTTGAGGGCTGTGGTTCAGAAAGTCTTCATTCTTATTTCTAAAGCAGTTGAGCTATGAGAACAGCACACAGTGATAATTCTTTTTATTTATTTACTTATTTATGGCGTGAATTGTTTTTTGTTTTCTGTCACATTAGGTCTTGCTGGCATTTTCTGACTGTCTCCATTCTTGATAAATGGCATTTCTCCACAGTAGAGATGAAAACTGCTTCTCCTAATGAAGCCATTTCATGTTTCTGCACTAGAATTTTCAAAACGCTCATTACAATTTCATTGTCTACCAGTATGCAGACACACAAGACCTTATAAATAAATGCTTTTGCTCTTTTTGAGTCCAGTGATTAAACCTGAAAACATCAGTTAGAGGACATATAATTTGGGGTTTCAGTTTGCATAGACAATTCCCTCAGATATCACACAAGATGTAGGTAGTAAAGGTGAAATAAGATTCCACATCTTGGTCCTGTCCCATTATAAGCAAGGGCATCTCTTGCCTGTAGTGATCAATCAACTCCACATTGTTTTTGCTGGGTGCTTTGAGCGAAGATCTCTTCTTTGCAAGCATCACTCTCCAAGCTGGAGGTGAGGTGATAGCATTCCATGATTGCCAGAAAAAAAAATGGCTCATCGTGGACAGCTCTTCATACCTCTCCTACTGAACCAGGATGAGGAACTTCTAGCTGGTGATTTTCATACACAGACAAGTTATATCCAGAGCATTACTGCCAGACTCAGAAGTTCCTTGTCTATCACCCCAGTGACACAGGGGAGTGGACAGGATCTCACGTGTAGTTCTTGACAGGACTAAAAGTCACAGGGCCGTTTAGTGCACCTGGATTTTAAAAGACAAACTGCAGAGAACAGTGTAAAGCAATATTTAATGGACTTCCCAGTTCTCTTCTTGGTTTCTTTTCCCATACGGGTACCTCAATCACGAAGTCCTGGTGAAGCTGAAGGAGGAAGAGAAACAGAGCTTCAGAACCAGACCCAGGACCTCAGAGCTGAACTGCTGCCTCGAAGGCGGCCAATGTGTGCACGCCTGAGCCCAGGGCCGCCTCCCATCCCTCTGAGCAGCTGTGGTTTCATTGTAGTATCATACGACCCCCTGCTGGCCTCGTTTTTCACCTCAGCACTTCTGGCATTCCAATTTGTCTGTTTTTTCCCTCCTCGGGAACCTTGAAGGAGCCACCCTCTACAGGTGCTCCTTTCTGAGGATGCAAGTAACTTTTCTGGAAAAGGATGGCCCTGAAAGGGCCTGACCGGTGCTGCCCAGCATTGTCCTGCTCCCTCTGCAGCAGTGGTGACAATCCTGGCAGGAACCGACCATATCTCAGGCTAATGAGTTGTCAGAAACCCGTTCCCGTCCCTCGCCTCCCGGGCAGGTTATTATTATGAGGGCTGTCAGTGGCGGGTGAGGATGGGGCAAGCAATCCATTTCTGCAGCCAGCGGGGAGCTGCGAATCTGTTCACAGGGGATCAGCGGGGTGCTGTGGGAACCGGCCTGCCCTGCAAGCGTCCACCAAGGGCTACCATTCAAGAGAGCTCTGTGGGTTCATGGCGAGCGCAGCGAGTTTGCCTCTAATGTATGCCCTAATGAGTCAGCGGAGGGTGTTCTGCCTGCCTGAATGTCTTTAGTGTGGCAAAGCGGAGTGGACATTCCCATACAATAGTGGGCTTAAATTCAGCTTCTCACCGATGTCTAATTCACGGGCGGAACGGCTTTTGTAATACCTATAGAAGAGAAGTACAGTAGGTCATTTCTCCAACTAATTGGAGTTGACAATCCCATATCTATCCATATCTCAGAGCCATTTGCACGCATTTGGAAAGGGAGGCATTTCGTCTTTACTCACGTGGTCAGCCACTGAGAAAATAATGTATGTATGGGTTTCTGCTTTAGGCAGTCACAGATTTGCAACAAAAACTAATATATCCTGGCAATGGCTTTTTCACTTTCTTAATGGCAGGTAGAGCATTAAGGGTTATCTTTCTTACCTCCATTCTCCACCTTTTAAAGGATGCTTCCTTTCCCCCACCGACGGTTTGATATCTCTGCAGGGCACTCTTTTCATGACTGTCGGTTGCCCTGCAGCACAGTGACTCAATCATGCATGTCTTCTAGGTGCCATCATAACATCAGTGGTCAAAATAATACAAAATGTCCCTGCTCTGCAAACGGGAGTTTCACAACTTGCTGAAGGCCACTTGCTGGACCAGTAGTAGGAGTAAGACTGGTTCCCAACCCCACGTCTATAACGACAAAGTGCATCAAGGTGTCACATGGTTTAGTCTTTTTCAGCATGGCATGAACTTCTGCTGTTATCAACACTTTATCCACTGGCTGGTTCAGATACAGCAGTTATATACCCAGAGAGTATAAATTTTTCCAATTTCATCAAGCACGTAACACCTGAAGAAGAAAACTTCCAAAATTCCATGTGGAAGCCAAATGAGCACTTTTGAGTGCTGTGCCAGTTAAAATTGGACCTTTATCTTTCTTTGCCAGACCATTTTCTCCTCAAAGACATCAGCCACAGAACTAAGTCCTGTCCCTACCTATATCAGCCTTTGGGAAGAATTAACAGTAGTTTGAGCTAATTTGAGGGATTTAAACTATATATTTCTTTTTAATAAAAGTTTGGCTTAGTGTATTTGTCATGCTAGAGCCTTCAGACTTTCTCAGTGCAATCCTCAACTCTGTTAACAGTCTATGATGAAATCATATAACTAAATTAATAGCCTTTTCCATTCACTAAGTGCCACAGGGGATCCAAAATGTAGAACGTGGTAAAATTGCCTGGTTGGTACTTCATGCTGAGACTGAAGGAGACTGTAACACCGCTGGGATGGAGACAAATAAACTTTACACATTAATCCTATTGACTCAGAGGTGATTTGGCTGTTCTTGATTTGACATGGAAGTTTTGTAAGACGCTATAGAGCTAGGAAGCAGTATAAAGCCACACAATAAATGGAAAAAAAATGAGATAAACTGCCGCTTTATTTTTCTAAGTATGTTCATTAAGGATATTAATTTACTTAGGATGAAAAACTTTACTATGCTTTTGCTTTAAAAAAAGTCTGCTGGAACTGTGGGAAATATGTTTTAAATAACCCAGTAAATGGAGCACACGTCAGTAAAGACAGCTCAATTTCGTTACGGTGGTGTGATCACAAAAACATTTTCTACCATGCAACTTTTAATTAGTCTCGCAAAAAATTATTCTGCTTCACTTATACAGAGTACAGTAAATGGCTACATAAATGCATAAGGAATGAAATAAATACGCTTTGTTCAAATGTGGTGACCTTTGGGAGACAAAGATGATAAGAGAATGAAGTTTCTCTCTGCTTCCCCTTGTATTTATCCTGTGGCAAGTCAATGTTCCTTCATGAAATACAGTAATTATGATAAAAAATAAACCAAAGTGAACTTCTTCACTTCACACTTCAACAATCTTCCAGCCATACAGATGCATTCATGCATGTATGGCTGTCATTTCCAATCCAGACAATTTTTGATAAGCTTTAGCTATTCTGAGGTGCTGCCAGTTTGAGTGACAACCTTGATACCTGCAACTAAACGGTTAATCTGTTCACCATTGTGAATGTAATCAGTGCTCTCAGACCCAGCAGAATCCCACATTTTTCTGATGTCTGAAATAAAGTTGTTGTTAGTAAATAATATAGAGTATATATACATATAATGTCCAACACATAAATAAATATTAATATGCATGGTACTGTCTCCACTGTTCTGTGGTATCACATATGTGTGCATATATTTTTTTTTAATATATATATATACACATTAATATTAAATCAGAGAAAATATGGAAAGGAAAACATATTGCTTAAATTATATAAAATAGATTTGCCTTTGCTACAAATATAAAAGAAATTAAGTGATGCTTTTCATTACAACATTTCAGATGCACAGCTCAGGTCTGAGTCATGTGTGCTCTATGACTTCTTAGTATAATTTAGCATCCAGTTCCCATGGAACTCAGGGGCATTCTGCCTTTGAAAGCACAGTCATTACTTCCATCCTGCTGCTATTTAAACACACTTGGGGATATGTGTACTTCCAAATGTGAAAAAAGCAAAACCAGTGAAGGCAAAGGTTATGTAGGCAAAGGGTATTCAATTTCCCTCATTTGCTAAAGACATTACAGCTCCAATCAGTCTGCTGAGCTTGCACCTTTTAGCCCATTATCTGAGACTGGGTCAACTTGGCAGCATCAAAAATGTTGTATTTTTCATTTGTATAAGCTATTATATACTCATATATTTGCTCACCATCAGAAACAATGGTCTGCAGTTGACTACTCAGGGGAAAAAAATCCAATTTCATGCAAATTTTCAGAATAAACTCCCTGAAATTCTTACAAGACTCAGAAAGAAAACATATTGTATGAATAGTGTATTAGAGGAATGAGATTCCATTATGTATGACCTCAAAGATACCTCATAAAACACAGGTTCTTAAGTCTGGTAAATGTCACTCCCCAAACACCACAAAAAACAGAGCTTTATTATAAAGGTAATTGCCAGCATGGGCTGTGGGAAGGTCCCTCCTCACACCTAAATTCAAGTAATTATTAAATGGTGAACAAGTATCATGGCAGTCAGGTTTCTGGCCACTCTTATCTTCTGGATGGGTAAAATGTTTGCCAGGGTCTTCCAGTGGGAGCTGTTGTCCTGATGCTGAGAGAGAAGCACTATCACCCTCTGCCACGACCGCATTTCTCCTCAGACAGCCCAGTTTAGAGGGGCACAAGAATTGCCATCCACTTCACTCTATATTAAATTATCATATACCTAATATAAAGTCATACCTTCATTAAAATTCTTGGGGTCTCAACATGGTAGTATTGTGAATTAAACAAGACTGTTCAGCTGTGAAATTTTTGTCTGTTGCTAAATAAATCTTTAATTGTATCATTTAATCCTCTAGATCTCCTTTCCCTGAAATAGAAAATTATAAGAGCTTCTTCTTGAGCACTTAAGGCAAAACCCCACAAAACCACAGATGAGCAGAAGTGTTTTATGTCCAATTCACAGAAGCATATAAATCCATAAAGTGTCACAGGCATGAACTAGCCCTTTCCCCCTTAATAATTATGTATCTTTTACAGTCTGTCAAAACAAGTAGTCACTTGCCTTACATGAAGCATTATAAGAAAGGAACAACAATATCAGTCCATTGCAACCTACAACTGATCAAACAACCTTAAAGTCATTTACGAAATACCACATTTGCCAGAAAATACTCAAACTTGTGTATGGCTATGCTAAATTTTTGCTTGCTGTGTAGCAAAACAAAATGGTACAAAAGTTTCATATCTAAGCTAGCATTTATTATACAAAATCCATATTAAATGCATCTGTTTATTAAGTGAAGTTGGCAATGATATTATTAAAGTTTCATTGTTTTCCATCCTAAGCTCCTTTCTTAGCAGCTTATAACTCTGGCAGTCTTTAATTGTTTGTATAAACATTCACAGGAGGTAGAACTCTAGAAGAGCTTTCCTGGAAGCAGGAAATATCTGCTCCAAGCTGATATTCTTTAAGAAAATTTCATCCAAAAAGGTCATTTCCAAGAATGGTGCTTGGTTAAGAAATAGGTTCCTTTCCCCTTATTTTAAAAAAAAAATTTCTTCTGGAAAAACAAAAAAGAATTTTGGAGCAAAGATTTCAGTGCTGCAGCAAATGGTCTTTGTTGAGGGTACACCTTCTGCTAAGCTTGTGAAACACGCCCACACTCTAACCCTTGAACACACCCTAATCCTCAAAATGATCGCAGTTTGCATGTGCTGGTCGAAGCGAGCCAGCTCAGGCACCAGAATATGTTTATTGGCAGAGAAGCAGGCTTTTTTCAATTGTTTTTATTACCCAAACTAGCTAAGTATCTCTATCCTGCATTGCAGTAAACAAAAGAATCAGGGCACGATCTTCCCTTTCCTTGCCTGGTCCGTACCTACCCTTACAAGTGAGCTTGTCACTGCAATTCTGGGCAGAAGAGTGGATCCTCCATTGACCATCACTGGGTCCTATTTCAAGAACACACACCGCTTATCCCCTCAGTCCTTCCCATGACTTGTGGTGTAAATTGCCACGGAGAAGACACTGCCCTGGAGAAGGAAGGCACCAAATGGATGTAAATGTCTCTGAGACCATGCTATGCTGCCAAGCGCAGACAGCAACAGTGGCTGTTATAAAAGATGCAAAGAACAGAAAAGGATCCAAAGAGAGCAGTGTGGTAGTGGGGCCAGGTCATCTTGGGCATGCAAGGAGCATCAGGAATTGACAGTGCACCATCAGAAGCACTGAAATTGCTCATAATATCTCTCCAGGGTCTTGGCACCCAAGCAGGGAAGCCCAGGGCACATCAGCTGCCTCCTCAGAAACACCTGCTGGGCAAAGAGAAGCCAGCTCTCATCCTCTGTGTACTTTGGAAAAAACCTAACAGTTGTGTAATTGATCTAACAGTTTACTCAGCAAAATGAAGGCCAAACTAAATGACAATGAATAGCTTTACAGGAGGCAGTTACAAGGGAACAGCACATCAGTGACCTCCTGGCTAGAAATGAACCAGGTAGAGCTGGTCTCTGTGAGCACTGTTGTGTCCACAGTGTAGTGGAAACTTCACTGGCCAAAACTCTAACTTACTTAACTCTTAGACAATTCTTAAGAAAGGCATTTCTGTGGTGACACACTGCACCCAGCACATACAGCTGGGCACTGGCCCAAGAAGTATGAAAGTCAGGACACTGGTATTTTGGGGATGGTTGGCATAAAACCAGTGTAAACAGCTATAGCCATGCTCTCTCCCCTGGATTTGTACCAGATGACGTGTATTGAAGTATGGGATTTTCAGTTACTTTCATCCTGAGCATGCTGCAGTCTTGTTCTGTCTGCCTTGGGCATTTGGTCCTAATTAACTGACCATCCCTACAGTTAACTCCTGGTCCCTATAATCCTTCTTATCTCGGGCAGGATAAGCCTATGGGGTTCCCAAGGTTTGAGAAAAGCTTGCCCACCTACATGAGCTTGGACTCCTGCTTGTTTCAGGCAGGCAGTGAGATGCTCTGAGGTTCTGGTAGCTGACTAGAAACTATCTGCATGACAGCTTCTCCTCCACTCTGTTCCGCGGGGAAGGGTGTACACATACATTTGCCTTTATAGCAGACCCTCGGCATTCCCTGCCCTGGAGAGGCCCTCACAAAGGGCCACCAGTTTAGCAGAGAGGCAGAAGCCACTGGAAGTTACCGGTCTCAGATGCAGCTGCCTCCAAGATGAGATGTGAGCCCTGGGCTCAGGTTCAAGTCAAACAAGAAATGCAGATGTCACCTCTGGAACATTTTCAGAGCACAGGGGGTCGGGGATTTTTTCTGTCTGCAGACCCTTCCTGGAAATGAGACCTTCTGGCCCAGCTGCCTCAGGACCAGCACTGGCTCCCGTGGGAGAGGTGCAAATAACCCAGCAGTCTTTGCAGAGGCTCCAACCTCAAATCGCTCTTCCCTTTACCTATCAGAAAAAAAGATGTATCTGGTCAAATTAATAAAACCACAGCACATTAAAGCCTCACAGTGTAATAGAGGGAGTTCAGGACATATTTGTCCCTACAGCCGCCAATCAGCCTTGATGACTCACAGGTTACTTTGGGACTTGGGCTCCTATTTCTCTGCCTCATCTCTCCAGAATATTGCTTGGGCTCAGACAGAGTTTTCTAAGAAATTCAAGAATCCTGGATTTAGCTCCTTCTTTTAACACAGTATAATTTCTCTCACTTACTTTCTCCTTACCAGCTAGTTTCTTACTGTTCTTTCTCTGAAACGGTGAGGGAATCTGTACGATATCTAGTCTCTCCTGATCAGCAACACCCCAGTGACCCATGTACCTGTGGCTTAATAACTCCTTTCTCTTATCTTCCCCCACAAGATTCACTGCTAAAAATTGCATGAGCTTCTCTGTCACAATAGAGTTGCCACCTAATTCAGAAAGCTTCCAACACCAGCCAGACTTACTGAGCTCTGCTCAGACAGATTTCCCAAAACACCAACTCTTAAAGCACTTCTGTGATTTGGAGCCAGTTATTAGTTTCTATTAAGATGTTTGTGTGAAAGCACAGTTTCCAAATTCCTCCTGCATAATACTTATCTTCCCCTTTTTGACACACACAAGAACACCATTTTATTATTTATACAGATCACTTTGTTTTCCTCAGCACATAATTTCAATTCCAATTCATTAATGTCAAAGCATAAAAGAAGCAACCGCACATAAAGCAACAAAAGTTTGCCAAACGCAGAAGATAACAGCTGATAATTAAGGAAGTCCCATTATTTCCTGGCAAAGGAGCCTGTGTTTTCAGAGACACATTCTTAAAGGGCCTCTCTTTAGTGTAGCTGCATAATTTGCATGAACACTATTTGCACAAATAAATAAAGGTTTTCAATACGAATAAAAGGAGGCTTTAATGTTCCCATAATTTTTTGTACAATACCAACCCCATATGCCCCTTCTTGTTCACACAGCCCAGCCTTGTGATGGGTTTATAAATGTATATGCTAACAAAGTTCAGATCTTTTGCCCACTCTAGCAAACCTCTGGGGGAGTGGACAAAAGATCTGGGCTTTGTTAGCATATACCTGCCCCCACTCACACACCCTCAATCTCATTTCATACTGATATCACTGCAGAAAAAAACCATAGTACTGATGAAACTACACATAAATCTTCTACCCAAGAATAAACCCTCCATTTCTTTCTTCCCAGGCTCACCTCTGCCTCCTGCCCCTTGAGTCTTTCACAGCATGGTCTGCTCACTGGGCAAGTCCAGCCCAAACAGACTTTTGCATGTTGTGTTTTGTCACATTACTATTTGCCAGCCACTGCCAGGCATGCAGGGCCAATGGCAAGTCTCTTGGTTTTTGTATTTCCCCCATGCTCTTCCCTTCAGCTGTTTCCAAATGTTGTTCAGCAAGACCGAGCATCTATTCTATGCTACAGTCTTATACCGAGATGAAAATTTGGCAGCATGTGGAAAGACACATGTTACTTGGATCAAACCTGAAATAGGCTATCCAGCTTTGTGCTTCCTAGCACTTGGATTGTGTATATCCACCCCTGCAGCACAGCTTGGCTTTGGTTTGGTTGATGAGGAACTCAGAGACAAATTAGATGGCTGTTCTTCTGAAGCCTGATGTCATTACCTACTGGTTCCCAGTTGTGATCCATGGTGAAGGCCTGTGGTGGATAGTTGTTGCCTCATTCATGGAGATTTGATCAAAGATGATGTTATTAAAATGACAAATCATCAGCAGAGAGGAAAGGTGTTTCACTGGCAGAGATCTCTGAGAAAGCACTGTTTGAAGCGAAACTTGTTGTGGCAAAGCCCCAAAAAGTCAGGATTAAAACTCACGTGAGGGCTGTTGACAATCCACACAATACTGCTACAGCACTTCCCCAGTCACCAAGAGGTGATAAATGATACAGGTTTTTTGTGCATACACAAAAAAAAAAGTGTTTCTTATTGAAAAAGATTTTTAAACAAGATACTTTCTACAGAAAAATTGTGAGCAAGAGCAAGTTTTCCATTCCAGTATGATTTTTAAAGGCAAGTCTTCCATTATGCCTATTGCTGAAAGAAAAATAAATTTATTTCATGGCAAGACTTGGCATGAGTTCTAGATCCTCTTCACATTTAAACATCATTGCTACAGCAGCAAAACTTCCCAAGGAGTTTGCACAGAGCTTTAAAACCCTTCTAGGTCCGTGAGACTAATAGTCACTGCATCCTCAAGTAGTTACAACAGAGAGCTTGTCAGAAATGAACTCCTAGTCTGCATAAGGCTACTTAAAAACTGCTTGTCTTAGATCGAGGTACCATATCACCTAATATTTTCAAGAACCAGACTTGGTCTGGGAATCTGGCAAGGTGCAGGAAGGAGGGTGGTACATCTTCACCCAGCACAGGTTTGTATTGTGAGAGCAGCAATACAAACCTTACAAGGCTTTGTCAATTGTGTACCCAACAGAACCAGAAGCTGAGGTTCATCTGCTGCAGAGCAGGGCTAACTCCGTGCTGCTACACTGGAGCTCTTTTGATGTAAACCTGTCCTTTGAAGGTACTGTCTCCTAGTGAAGCTTCCTTTCTGTTAACTCAGCTCTGCCCACTCCTAATTCAGGGCTGTGGCTTCATGGCTGCTTTAAGTTCTCTGATTGCAACTGGTGCCCATAACACGGTGTCTTTGGTGTGGTGGTGGCAAAGATGATGCTGTTACTACTCTGGTGGAAATGACTGTGTAGTAGCTCACTTGATGTGGAATAAGAGTGCAGTGGAGGAAAACCCCATTTACACTGGCATATTGCTAGGAAAAGGCATGGGATGGTCACTAAATATGCAGCCCAGAAGCTGGAACATGGGGCAGCTCTGACAGTTTCCTTAATAAATGTGTTTATGGCAGGCAGAAGGCAGTCATTGCAGGGAGTTCCCATCTCAGCAAACTTGGCTCAATCAGGAAAGAGTTCTGGGCAGCTCAGCTTTCTCTCAGCGATGTGAGGGGCTCCCCTCTCTGCCTGGCACTATGGCGACACAGTGTGTTAATGATGACAGTGAGCAATTGCACTTACACAGATAACACAATTTAACAAATCCCTCCACCAGAAATGCTGCTGCCCTCGGATATTCAGCTGCTTAATGTGTTTCCTTAGGAACAGAGAGTAGGCGGTTGTGCTAAATTCCCACTCCTGAGCTGTAAGAGAAAATCCTATCCACCCACCCAAAAGCTAAGGTTTGGATTAATCTATGACAACAACTCTTTCCTGTTCATTTCCTGTTGAGCAGCAGCCTAAATACCCTGACCCAAAGGCAGAAAAGAATGCAAATGATTACTTCCCCTATTACACGGGGAAATACAAAGAGGACAAAAGGTGAATTTCAGCCCTGTGCTGAAGGTCAGGAGACAGCCAGCATATGAAAATTGTCTCTGAGTCAGGATGATTCAGTCAATAAGGTAAACAGCAAATTCCTCACAAGGGAGAAAGAAAAACACCAGCTATTTTGTTTCCTGATTAACTGAGTTATTCAGTTAACTACATCAGATGTAGTCATGCATTCTGTGCTTTCGGTACTCCTTCCTACCCTACCACTACACGAAATTGCTGTAGATCCAGTCTGCAGCTGATGAGATTACTGACGCATGAATTCATGTACCAATTATGAAACTAGAAGTCAAGCACTCTTGCTCTCTGACTTCTACACTGGTATCTATGATCCTGGGAAATTTGTTTTTATAATTACAGGGTTGGAATATTTATTCATCTGTCAGAGGAACAGAGTGTATTAAAAACTGAATATAACTGCTCCTGTATTTTTTGGTACACAAAAAGTTTTCCCAACATGAGTAGGAGACATTGTGATCAAAATTCGTTCCATATGTAAAAATAAGAAGTGCTGTTATATTGACATCCATAGATACATGTTTATCCTTGGCAATTGTCAGAACAGTGCAAAAGTTGCTCCCACTATATGATTTTATTCAAGACACTCCCTTTAAGCTCATTGAGTTCTGCCACATTATACACGTTACATGAAATCAGCTATTCTCTACTCCAAATGGAATGACAAATTTTGCTATATATACACCATTTCCCATTGTGTTCATACTTTTCCTACCTAGTCTCAATAGACTTCCTTAAAAAAATCTTGTAACTTAGTTACTCTTTCAGCTGGCCCATAGTGAGTCCTGCTACCAGGAAGACAATTAGCCTAATTTTGATGTTGTTTCTGTTGCCCATCCACCACACCCGAAAAGAAAATCACACTAATTTCTAATGATCATGGAAACAAGTACCTGAGTATTTTCACAAGCAGTTTCACCTCAACATGAGGAGGCACTTCTTTCCACTCAGAGTGGCAGAGCACTGGAACAGGCTGCCCAGGGAGGTTTTGGAGTCTCCCTCTCTGGAGACCTTCAAAATCCACCTGGACATGTTCCTGTGTCACCTGCTCTAGGTGACCCTGCCTCGGCAGGAGGGCTGGACTGGAGGATCTCCAGAGGTCCCTTCCAACCCTAACAATTCTGTGATTCTGTGAGTGCACTTTTGATATACGCTAGTTAACAGGAATTACAATTCCAGCTGTTTCACTTCTATTCATCCACAACACATGCATGGTGCCACTATGCATTACCTTCTGGACCTGGGAAAGATAGGCTGTTGAGTCAACAGCTTTAAACGTGCAGATTTAAAAGGTGATGATGGCTTTGGTTTCAACAGTAGGGCACTTGACTGACCTTTGGAAGGTAAAGTGCACCAAAAAAGTAGTTTTGTTACAGAAAAATTAGTTCCTCATTCAGCAAAAACTACATTAAAGACTATAGGAATATGCTGTATGTATTATGGCATTTGATGAATTTAGATATAGAGTAGTAGAAAGCATTCACGTGGATGTGACAAATTAGTAAGTGGTATAGACGTTGGTTCAACATGTTTGCCTGCCAAAGGTTAAGAGTCACAAATTTTGCTAGTACAGGACTGGCGTTTCACGAGTGTGAATAGGCTGATGACCTCCACAGCCAAGAAAAGCTCCGGCAACTTCTTTGCCTGGGAGTGAAATGACACTGACAAAGAACTCGCATCTATGTGTCTATATTATAAACTCTGAGGGTTTCTATCCATGCATGTGGAGTCACAAACACGTGCTAGTCCGCAGGTTCATTCTCATACACGGGCTGACGCCACGAAGCTTCCAGGGCCCGCCGGGCTGGCGAGTACCACGGGAGAGCGTGTCAGAGCTCCCCCGTCCTGCGCCACGGCCACGGCACGGGCCGGGCGCTGCCACCTCGTGGGGATCGGCCTGCGCAGAGGAGCAAAAGCCTGCTGTGCCGAGAGGTGCCCCTGACAGGCAGGACAGGGACACGGACGAGCACACGGACGAGCACACGGACGAGCAGACACCCGGACCCGGGGCGGGCGCTCCCCCCACACCAGGCGCCCGCCGTCTTGCGCCAACCGCGATTGGTTTGGGCCCGGGGCAGCCCGGCATTCTGGCCAATGAGAGAGGCCCGCGGCAGCGCCCAGCCAATGGGCAGCGCCGCCTTTGCCGTGGCGTGTGAGAGGTCGGGGGTGGGAGAGCGGCGCCCCCGGAACGGGAAGCGGGAGGGGAGTTGCTTCCCATCCCATCCCCTGCCGTTCTCCCGCGGAGCGCACGAGGGGTTCCCGCGTGGGCCTGCGCTTCTCCCGACATGGTAAAGGCAACGGGGGGTGCGCGGCAGGGCGGCGGGAGGGGCGGGAACCGGGAGGCGCTGACCATGTGTTTCCCCTGCAGAGCCTGCCCCTGAACCCCAAGCCGTTCCTGAACGGGCTGACGGGGAAGCCGGTGATGGTGAAGCTGAAGTGGGGAATGGAGTACAAGGGCTACCTCGTCTCCGTGGACGGCTACATGAACATGCAGGTGAGAGCCGGGGTATCCCCTGTGAGGTGCCTCGGGCGGGGGTGGCACCAGGGCTCGGCCCTGGGGCGGTGAAATGAGAACAAGTTGCCAATCAGAACAGGTTGCCCGGAGAAGTTGTGGATGCCTCATCTCTGGAAGTGCTCAAGTCCAAGTTGGACGGGGCTTTGAGCAACCTGGTCTAGTGAGAGGTGCCCCTGCCCGCGGCAAGGCAGTGGAACGCCGTGATCTTTGGGGTCCTTTCCCGCCCAAACCCTTCTGTGGTGCGGGGACTGGCGGTGCCTCGGCGGGATTGCGGGGCCGCTCGGCTGCCCCGGCCGCTGTAGTGAGCACTGGGCTGGGGCGGGGCCGATGTGTGCTTTGTGAAGCTGCTTTTATTACAGTCTCATTTTTGCTCATTTCTCTCTCAAGCTCGCAAACACAGAGGAATACATAGACGGTGCATTGTCTGGACACCTGGGTGAAGTTTTGATAAGGTAATTGGGGTATTTATTTGTGATGGAGGCAGGCTCTTTCTAAATCTTCTTACCACTTGTATTAAAATTTGTACGGGTGGGTGTTGTATTTCTTGTCTAACTAAGAGGCTAAGTGTAGGTCTTACAGTAGGGCTATGAATGTGTGTCTTTTATGTTGAGGTCCCTTTTGAGGGGAGGAAAAATGGAACTTTTGAATATATTTCAAAAATTATTTACTATCCCTTCTTTGATGGGTAAAGCTTTAGTTTTCTGTGTTACTGTGTATCTGTTAATCCTTTGGCGTTGTACACTAGCGCGTTGCACCTGAAAACATTTCACATGCTTGGAAGTTAAACTTGACCATAACTGCTGACCCAGAAGTAAAAATTTTTTTGTACAGCTTTGTCAACCGGTACTACTTTTATAAGGGTTCACAATTGTAATGAACTTTGTGGAAAACCTGTACAAGGCCAACAGCAGCAATGTGTTATGCAGAATTTGGCTGCTGCCAGGCTACACACAAGCAGGAAAATGCTTAAAGCATCTTATGTGGGGAAAATGATAACATTTACAGCTAAGAACTAATAGAACTCTTGGTCTGTTTACAGGTGCAATAATGTTTTGTACATCAGAGGTGTGGAAGAAGAGGAAGAAGATGGAGAAATGAGAGAATAGATGTTTTGTATTTCTGGAAATAAACTTTTTTTTTCTTTCTGTTTTTCATACTTTTGTAATAAGGTGTTTACAGTTTTTTTTACTGTGTTTTAATATGGGGAAGTTAACCCTTTAAAAGGTCTTTAGTCTTATATTGGTGTCTGAAAAGCTAATGCTGGAGGAGCAACAGGTAATTATTTCATTTTAAAGCTGAAAATATTAAAATGAAAAGCGAGTATTTAAAAAATACCAGTTGTCTTCCCATCTGAAACACAGGAAAACATGGAAGTTCCTATATTTTACAGTATGTATGCAGTGACTATTTAAATACACTTCATCTTTAAACCTGTTTATAAACCATTTGAAAATAGCTGGGAAGACTTCACTTCAGGTGAGATGTAGAGATCTGTTGTACCCCAGTGTCTCTCAGAAATATTCCACTGCCTTGAGTCACAAAGCTTAAAGTGTGGCTGTACAGTCATTAAGGAAGGACAAATTTGCATCAACTTAGTAGCCAACAGCCACACAAACAAAGCTCTTGAAAGCTATAAAGGTCAATAGACTTCAAATTGATAGAGTTAAGACAACAGACTGCAAAATGGGAGTGTGCTTTGTGACTCTGCTGAAAAATGGAGATGATAGTGTTCTCCTGGGGGGTTCAGAAGTAAGACATTCTGTTTAAAAGCTGCCCAGATCGTAGCTGTAGAAGAGAAGCTGCATGTGGAGTGCCGATCTCCAGGCCTGCCTGCTGGGATTGCACATCCTTTGAGAGACAGCTGGAGTGAACAGTGCTGGATGCTTTGGACTGCATTAGGATATAATACTGATTGTGTGAATTGGGGGAAAAACACCAGCCTGTCAGGATAGATCCTGCAGAGAAATACTTCCCTGTTTGTTTCTCATGTTGGAAGTCATCCCTGTAGCTATGCATGTGTTCCTTTAATATTTGCATCTGTAAGTTGCCATAAAGAGTGACAAATCATTTTGGATGTACTTGTGAAGGTCTTTCATTACATAAACCAGGCCCTTCTTTTTGGCAGCTTGAGGGCTTACTTCCCAGCTCTGCTACAATCCCACTGGGAAAGGGAAAAGAGCTATTTAAATTAACATCAGTAGCATCACAAGGCTAGATAAGTACTTTTAAACTGGCAGTGAGCAACAACTAAATGTGTTCTTGGAACAGTTTTGGTGGCAGGAATGAGAGGCAAAAAAGTGTCATGTCTGATTTGTGATACAGCACAGCCTGTGTGATGCAGAACAGTGTCCTTCCTCTGCTGCCATCGATAGTTACAGTGGTATCAGTATTGGAGGAGAAAAAGCCGTGACTGTCATCTTAGTATGTAATCAGTTCCTTGTCTGGAATGGGCCAGCACTGACCTGAAAGCTGCTCCTCCACATGAGGTGGAAGTGCAGCTGGAGGTGAGTTTAACATGTATGATCTTTGCACTGGATCAGCAGGCAGCACCATTACTGTGACAACTTACCAAGTGTTTTAGGCTTTCAGCTTTTCAGAATAACTGGGAAGGCTTAGCTTATGCTGAACCACTTTTATGTGTATAGATGAATGTGACTGGTTCCTCAACTGAACAGAGGCATACCTGTAGAAAGATGTCTGGAGTTGTGCTGTACAGCTAGAATGCTTAATTCCTGTCATGAGGGTAAAGAAAATGGTTTTGCCTTGCAGAGAGCTGAAGTCCTCCTGTGATTCATAGCACTTCCTCTGATTCCCTTCCTATGGGGTGAGAATTCTTCAATATAGAACACTGCTACTTGTTGGACAAATGTTAGTTTTTGTGCTAGGAAAATTCTTCACACAAGGAAGATCCAGTAGCAGTTTAAAATGAGTAGAAACCTTTTTTAAAAACTGGCAGCACAAAAGAAGCAAGGGAGCATTTTGTCCATGTCCTTAACATGGCAGATACTTCCTGACTTAAAAACAGGCTGCTGATATTCCAGGACAGACCTGTACCCATCATCTGGAAAGTAGCCACATCTTTTCCATTTGTTTTTGTGGGGGGCTGTTGAGAAATGAATTAAAGTACTGAGACATTTATTATGACCTTTCAAAAGACATACCTAATGTATACTATATCTAGATGAAACCATTATCTAGAAGAAAAAAAAGTGAAAATCTACATTAAGATGAATAATAGGAAAGAAAAGACAAGTCGACTTACCTTTTGCAAAAGCGAGAACCCACTCAGAACTAAGAAAACAAAGATATTTTTCTCCTGTAGTCTCTCTCCCTCTTTTAAAGACTGAGATAAGCTGCTTTATAGTCTTGAGTTTTCACTCTCAGTGAAACCATGCTCCTTTCACATAGTTTCAGATTCTTTGGGGATTTTTTGTTACGCATGTTTTTCTGATAGGTACATTCCTTAGACTTCAGACTCAGAAAGACCGTTTTATTTTTGGTCCTAAATGGTGTGGAATGAATTGCAGTGCAGGTGAAGGTAAGGTACTCTGAATAAATCGAAGTAATTAGAGCTGGTCCTTAGTTGGTATGAAGTAAGCCCCACGAATACAAACAGATTTTTCATCGCTTCTGGAGCAAGTCCGAAAGGTAAAAGAACTGCAAACATTCACTTATGTGTATATTAAAGATACAAATAAAAGAGCTCATAATTTTACTTTTTAAATATAAGGTACCTAGAGTAACTAAAAAAAAAATGCTTTCATGTGATAAAGTTGTTCAAATTGTTTATAGGATAAAAGAAGTTGAAGACAAAGTAGCAGGACACTCCATCAGCAAAAAATTATACCCTGCAAAACCACTTATTTAATATGGTAAAAAGTTAGTTAGTCAAAAAGAGCCTGGAAAGACTTACAGTAAGATATGACACCACATGTAGTTTTGAGCTTATTTTTTGTGTTACTCATTTGGTATAGGTTGGTTGCTGTTTATTTTTTTACTTGGAAACTTTCCCATTCCTAGGAGTACCCAAAAGGAGTGCAAAACCTAGCTGAGAAGACCCTAAATCCTTATCATTGCTAAGAGACAAAATGCTGTGAACTCCAATTCTGTATTGTGCAGGTCACTGACTGCAAAGAATGACAAGCTTTGGCCCTAAGGCCAGATGCTGGAATTGTACCAGTTCCTGTGTCTGTGACAGGACACAAGTGCACACAAGCTCTCCTTCCCTTAGCTGCAGTTTTTGTGAAAAGGAAACCTAAGCACCTAAGTTGGCAAGGTTACACTGCTCAGGGAAAACCAAATTGTCTCCTCTGGGGCAGATTGCGGTGTTCCCCAAAAAGGTTGACCCCATGTCACCAGAGGGTTGTGGAAACCAAGCATACATAACAAATTTGCAATTTAGTTTGGATCTATTCCACATTTGCAAGTCAGTTTCGTTCGTATGATGCAATTTCTATGTTTGATCCTGAGAGTCTAGTAACCTCTGCTGCTTTTGTAAACAGGGAAATAGCATTCAGTAAATTCCACTAACAATTAGCTTTTGTTAAGGCATGCACAGCGTCTCCTTTCAGGACATTTCATCATGCTATATGTATTATTGTAAAAGACTGTTTAGCAGAAGAAAAAACTAACACAAATTTAAGGAAAATTTAGCTAATATTTGGTCTAAGACAAATATTTAACTTTGGCCCTGTTGAAAAAATTACATGTTGTTTACAAGAATAAACATTCTAATGTAACTGACAGTGTATTTGAAAAGGTGTTCTTGAGGAGTAAGTGCATCATACTGTCACATAAAGCACCAGTGAGAAGAGATGAAATCTCTTAATAACCTGATACTGAACTTTTTTATTTATCTCTACTTTCACTGTTTGTTTTTTTTTTTACTTCTCATTATTATCATGTACTATTGAAAATGCCACATTTTAAAATTATTTTCAAAAAGCACTTTTGCTGGAACATTAAGGTGATTTAAAAGCTCTAAGTTTAGAAATTTAAGCTGGGTTTTTCTAACACCCTACAGTCCTCTGTTTACATCCAATGAATTCTGCCAACATTAAAAAAATACAGCCAAGTTCTTAGAATCTTTACCTCTTGAATAAAACTAGAATTTCCTGAGGATGCAACCTAGAAACTGCTCCTGTACTAACTTCTCTGAGCAATATTCTTAAAAATAGATCAGGCACAGCATGTCAGAAAACACTGATTGCAGTGGATTAACCTTTTTCTTCATAGGCTGACCTATTGCAGAGAAAAATCTTCACCAGAAAAGAACCAGGGCATACACAAGCACGGCTGTGAGTTTTCTGCAAGCAGAATGTAAGTCTTAATATGAAATACGCTCCTATGTTACTAAGCATAAAATCTTCACCTATTCTAAGGATTTAAATTAGGATCTGCCCTTGGCTCTTGCAAGGTTCCTCTTTAATTTCTGCTTTCAAACATATTGTGGAACTGCTGTGGAAAATCAGCAGCAACTCCTGAAAGCAGTAAAGCACTCTCTACCAGCTCTCCTGTCAATCTTCTGCATGCCCAGTGAGAGTTTAGGAGGAAGACAAGGATTATGTTGTGGTGCAGTATTGAGCTGGTGGAGAAGCATCACAAGGTAACACCCAACACGTAGTTTTACTCACTTTTCAGTTTTGATATTAAATAAAAATTACTGTGCTTTAGCTGCATTTTTTGCCTCATTTGCAAACAAGACTTCACCAGAAAGGTTCATTCGAAGAGCTAACATATACGTCTTTTTCTACTGGACAGGAAAATATATATGCACATGGATGTGTTACAAGTATTTTAAATTGATCCTCTTTCTAAAAGAAAAGAAGATTTCTAAACAAGATTGCCACTGCCAGAAAGGTGTTTGAGGGATCACTTGTTTAGAAAGACACTCCACTTGCCAGCTGGGAATTACTGGAGCCCTATAGACTCTATGAATATTTGAAGAGAGAAGAAAACAAAAAATCCATGTTGAGAATAAATATTTGCTCCACGACTCTTCCATCCCTGATTCTGTAGGGGGCAGCAGAATTTCGATCTTGGAATCGGATAAATTAATGGCTGCCCGGATAAATTAATGTCTGTCTGAACATCTGGTGCGGGGGAGGTGTTATGGTCCCTCAGAAGCTGTTGCTGGAATGCGAGCAAGGTGGTGGGTGCTGGAAAGGTGCTGGATGATGGAGTCTGGATAAGGACCATGTGGGCAAACAAACGCTCCCAAATCAGAACCTCCTATTTTTTTAGCAAAGGGTAATCTCCGGATGGTACTGTGAGAACTGAGAGCTCTGGGAGGTCCCAGCTGGAAAAGCCGGTGCTTCGGAGCTGATCGTGAACCAGAGGGATGCACGGATGCTGTCCCGTTATCTGGACCGAATCGAGCAAGCATCCCTCCCCTGGAGCAGGCTGCTGCAAAGTTAGGACAGACCAAGCCGGGCGGAGCCAAGGCCGGGTCCGGGGTCGGGCTGAGCGCGGCCCGAGGCGGGACAGGGCGGGGGGCAGGAGGGGCTCTGTCCCGCCCGCCCCGGGGGACTTTGAGCCGAGCGGCGGCCCCGCCACTCGATGCCTGCGGCCATGGCGGGCCGGGAGCGGCAGCGGCTGCTGCTGGAGAACGCCCAGCAGCTGGTGCTGGTCTGCGGCCGGGGAGAGCGGTACCTGCGGCGGGACGGCGCCGCCGGCCTGGCCGTGCTGCGGAGCGCCAGCCTGGTGGTGGGGCTGTGAGTGCGGGGCCGGGGCGGGGGCGGCAGGGGTGGCTGCGGGAAGGGGTCACTGCGAGCTGCCCTTGCCCCCAGCGCCGGCTTCTGCCCGGCTGTTGGCTCAGCCCACCGGTGGGGTGAGGAGAAGCCCCGTGCAAGGGTGGAAGAGATCCCCCCAGTGCGGTTCAGAGTTCTCGGTAGCATCCCCAAGCTCCACCGGCAGAACGCTGCTATTCAACCAAAGATCAGCCCTGAAAATGTTGATCCCTATGGTTTCTCAGGGCACGGGGCACGATCCAGCTCCAGGTGATGACAGTTTGATTTCCGTGAAGGGAAGAGAACCCTGCAGATAGATACCCGCTGGAGGAATGCTGTATATTTG